GAGTATACCGCTGCAGATGCTCACTGCTGTGTAAGGGGTTCCCCGTTCACGCATGAGGATCTGAAAGAGTTCAACTCTCAAATCCATGGACGAAACGATGGTACGTTTTTCCATACCGTCAATGATGACGTCCTTCCTCGGTATCGTCGTTTGAGCCGGTACAGTTGCAGCGTTCAATTTGTTAGGCACTTGAATTATACGCTATCCTCCTGTAGTCTTTCGGACACTAAAGTTCTAAGGGCTGTGAGGGGATGTTGACTCCCTCGCATGACCCACAGCTATGCGATCGGAAAAGAACTTGTCCACCGCTGTGACCTATTCGCGAGGCAGTGGCCACTGCTTCATGACACAGTACTTCGAACCGGGTTCCAGTTCGATCTCGGGTGGAATACTTTGTCCTTAGGCAACCCGCATGGCACGGATCAAAGAAACACATCCTTGAATTCGATTAAATTCATATACAAGCATTTAAGCGACTCCCAAGATTGAGATGTGTATAGCTCAATACGGGTCTTCTCCTCAAATACACTTTCGTTTGACGATGAGCTACTGGTAACCCGTTCGTTATCGGCAAATAATACTGCCGACCGAATATCGGCCAAGCACTCGTTAGCTGTGAAGAGTATACAGATCTGCTTAACTTTGCCACTACGCAGATCTCGAAAGAATTGTTGCAGTTCTAGCATTGTAAATTATATGATCTCCGAAGTCAACTTCGGAGGCGCGATCAGATCAAGTGTATAAGCGCTTACACATGACCCGTCGTTAACCAACACATTCAATGTCTCTGTCTCTTCCTTAAACCGTTTTCCACAAGGAAATGGGACCTTATTCTCTCAGGTTGATGAGGTCCTGTCACCTCTTCAATTACTGCTTAAGTAGTTTATTCCTCAAGTACGTGGGGACTTATTACCTCGACGTCTTCTAGCTGTGGTAGCACGACCACAGCTAGTTCCTCTACGATAGACTCTCCAGCCGATCTAGAAATATCATTTTGCCCTGTGTGGGCAGCTAAATTATTGTTTACCTTCATGTAGACCGCTAGGCGTACACTCATGTCCCGATAGACTCTACTTCGTTCAAGTGGTGGACCTTCGGCGCTGACTGTGCATCCGCACAGCCACCGGCAGCTTCTTCCACAGTATGGTTAGTTGTCACACTGTGATATTGTGCAGACATACTAACAACCATACCGCAGGTGAGGCTATCACACTCATTGGCAGTACACCCGCACGCTTGTGGACGCTCCAAAACGTTCATCAGATGGCCATCTGATGAACAGGTGTCAGGCTTTTTCACGATTCAATGCTGCTAGCTAATTCTTGGCTTGTACCTTCTGATCCAGGATAACCCTAGGATGACATCAAGTTTATCATCCAAATCGAGTACAATGAAATCATCATTGAACTGCAAATCTCCAAACGTGTGATAAAAATTCCACTACAAGTTTCATCACTGCTAATGATGCGCCTGCGTCAAAGCGCACCATCATCCTCGTTAAAGGGATATCGCGATCAACGAACTTGAGCCTACGATATTCTAGCGACTGGCGACGAACAAAGTTTTTCGACGCCCCACAGTAAACTAAGGCACGAAGTGACAATTCATTTGCCACTTCCAAGTTAAAGTTGATGAGGGTCCTCACCACCAAGCGTAGAGACACACAAGGATTGTGAGTCTTGAGCAACTTATATCATATAGGTTTGCAAATTCTATTGAGATTGCTGGATCAGTAGGGCGCTCCGCCCCTACTGACCCCGACCAATTTTTGACGGTCCACCATGCTGTTGTGACTTTGCAACAGCGTCGGATCCGCGTCCGTTGCCCTTCCTGGCATACTATCGATCACTTCGCTCAGTGTTTCGTGACGCTGGGCGTGAAGCATTAAGTTAGGGCACTACAACCTTTGGCGTAGTGCCACAACTTATGGCAGCAACTTCACTTTTGCAATTTCTTACTGATTAAAGAGCGAGAATCTTGCTCTCATCACTGCAAAAGTCCAATGGCTTTTAAAATTCTCCACGCCTCTACTCGTGTCAAAAGATGATTGGGGTCAAGCTAGTGTGATCCTGTCTCCTACTATGGTCCTCTCGCCTCGCAGTTGTAATCGCTTCCTCGAGCGACTTCAACTCGACGTAGAACAGGTGGTTTCTCCCTAAACAATCTGTAAGGCTGTGTAAGAATACGTTGGTCAACAAGATGTTTCATATAGGGATCGCCACCATGCAAACTGCAAGGTAACGAACGTGCTGAGCGTAAGCTTGAACGTCACGCTTACCTTGTTTTACCTTCAGAAGCTGTGAAGCATGTCTAACTCAATTCTTGGCGGCCTAAACGTTCGGCTGAGCAAATTCTTATTGACCGCCAACGATCTAAAACGTTTGCATCGTGTAATTGAAGATTCAGGGACCAAGTTCTGGCACTCCCTGATAAATTCGATTTGGCAAATGCAACTTGCATTTCCTCATCGTCGATGTGACAAGCCTTGATGACATCGTACTTTTAAAAAATCAATTTAAATTGGATTATTTCTTAACTCCCCGGTACTTGGAGACTTCAAATTTAAGAGTCTAGCATCGACGCTGCCGAAACAGACTGTGACTTTTCTGTCTCAGGAGATCAGTCTACTGGTGATCTTTTTGATGCCGCAGGGTCACTTCAGCTCGCGACGCGTCAAGTTTTCGTTGCAAGAACTTGGCGATTACGGAATACTGCTAATCCCTATCCCTTATGGACAGCGGAGACCAGACAGCTTCTTCGCCAACGGTCGAAATCATGCGTTCGACCTCAGTCCATTTGACATCACTCATATTGGAGTAACTTTAAGGGTGCCGTGAAAGGTGTCGTCGCTTTCATCGTCTAACGTGTTCATGTTGAACGGGTTTTTTAGTCCTTGGACGGACTGCGAAGTGCTACCAGGTGTAAAGAGCACCGAAGCAATACACTGAGGACAACTGGTGTGTAGCTACTATCACCGACAGCAGCGTGAGTATTGCCTCGCTACCTCTGTAACTCGCCATAGGCAGGGAACGCAACCAGGAACTTTCTAGTTGCTGGTAAAAGTAAAACTGTCTCAAACATAATAAAGTCCTAATCATTAGCCGATGTCTTAGTCCCAACTTAACCACGTTTATCCACAAAAATGCGTGCCAAGTTCTTGCATACCACTCGTTGCGCGCGTCCATCGTTGATTGGACTGCTAGATCTGGCTGATGTGATGGCCCATATCAGCCAATCGGTAAGTGTGTCTGAACATTAATCCTTATGGTAATATTTACGAACATTATCAGCCTTTACAGTAATATTCTAAGTAACAACTATCAAGGGCTTGTTACATGCAACGGCTCACCCCGTTACACTGACAACGTACTACAAGCAGCTGTAGGTGCTACATTTCATATTGTGTGTCTTCCATACGTGGCAGTTTACATCGTCGTTCTGGGTGTAAGATCCCGACTGATGATCTCAGCATCCCCTTTGCCTCTAGAGACTAGCTGCGCAAAGCGCCAAGGAATGTAGCGTAGGCTCTTCGTTGTTTTCGTACCGCCTCATATGCAGTGGTGTACTGACATGGCACGTTGCTCTAGCTGGCAAAGCGTGAGGCGGCAGCAGAGGTGGGTGTCATCCCGGCTAGTGTAGCAGCATCATCCATTCATCGAATAAGGCTCGGTGAGCGCATGTCTCGCTGATACGATGATAATGTCGTGATACACACACTGATCGCATGGAAAACCAAAGGCGTTCGACGACAAATATCACGAGAAGTACGATTGATCTCATGAAGTCTTTTCTGGAGGCTGGCATACCGTCCTGCCCTGCTGAACCATTGCAACGCATAATTCTTCCTGGAAAGAAGCAGGTTCTTGAAGATAAACGACGACACCGATCGTATAGGACAGGAGCAGCACGTCTCAGTACGAGCTTAGCCCCATATTTTGCTGCTAAAAGTTAAAACTCCAAAACTTAAGCAAAGCATCACGACTTCGACATGGAAAAAGGAAATAGCCTCAATGACGTCACTTTGACTGATTGAACGACATGGTCCAGGATTTTAACAGCCACGAGTCATCACGCACGGAGCCACCCGGTTCGTCAAAGTAGTTTACGACGTTGATAGATCATTCGCTAATCAAGCAATAATAAACAAGTCGTAACATGTGATCGACAGTACATCAACGGATGCATGAAGACTTAATAGCGTTCTGTGCAACAAGCCACAAGTTTTATGTCAACTTCCAGTCGGTGGAAAGTGAGTGAGGAAGAAACCACATTTCAGCTAAAACGGTATCGTTCACCTGTCGCTCTTGCGGTAGTATGTTGATCAACGTAACTCACGAGACAGTCTACTTTGTGCAGAGGTCGATCGGAAGTCCGTCAATGTTTTTTCGTGCAAGGAAGGCTCACCTCATGCAGTGAGTACGTCATGAAGGCAGTCAGGACTGTGATGGACCCAGGGCCGCCGACGAAGACGAGAGCGAGGACCAAGATTTCTAGAGGTCTAGATGCGTGTTACTAGCTGTACCTTCCAGAACATGGATATGCGCATCTTTCCAACACACATAATACATCTCGGCTCGGCTTACCGGTAAGGCCGGGTCAGTGGTAGGGGCAGCCAAAGCGCGAGTCCGACGACGCGATCCACGCAATCATTTCCTTAGCCTCCTTTTATACATGGACAGCGGTCGTCAAATTACGCACCAAAGTGGCAGGTCGGCCATGATACCAGATACCGCAGCTCAGTCGATATCAACTGCTGGTCTCTTCCTACAAAAGGTCCAGGCTCACTGCAATGTACCAACCTCTAAAAGCTCCACGACGGTTTACCAGCATCTTGCTGTCGGTTGTACTATATTCTAGCGTGCTTAGCAAGAAAAGCACTTTTTGCCGCTGCGGGCTGTAAACGCATTTCCACCAATCCGCGCTGCGAGTCATCCCCGCCAGTAAAATCGATCGACCCCCTGTCGATGTCCGCTACAATACAATACAATAACCACGACCGCATGGAAGCCAAAGTGCGTTTCCACGTGCGGCAATATCTGCGCGAGTGCGAGACGCGAGGCGCTTGTCCAGGCCACATTACAATCACCTCGCACTTGCGAGAAACGTATGCGGAGTATCAGCGTAAACCCCTGGCTGCACTGCGTAAAGTCGTGGCCAAAGTGCTGCAAACCACCACCACGCCGGTACAATACATCGAGACCAATAACAGCGACAATAATAATTGCACTATCCATCGTAACGACAATAACAATGACAATACCAATAACATTGGCAGTAGCATACCGAGTGTCGATGCAATGAAGCGGGCGCGCAGTGACGACGAGCCACTCGAACAAGCAGCAGCAACCGGATCGACAATTGGTGCTGGAAATGCACTGAATCGTGCCATGCAACAGACGTACGCCCATGCTGCTGCCGACAGAAAAGTGGTGAAAAAAGTGAAAAGTGGACGGCACAAGATAAAAAAAGCAGTTTCGCACGAAGACCCACCGGACGTGGACGCGGTCGAGTCGGACGTTCGGTTCGTGGTCGAACGTCCAGGTGCTCGATACAGTGACATGGGCGGGATTCAAGTCATTTTGCAGGAAATTCGGGAACTTATCGAGTATCCGTTGACCCATCCTGAAATTTACGTCCATTTGGGTGTTGAGCCGCCTCGGGGCGTGCTGCTGCATGGACCCCCTGGAACTGGCAAGTCGATGCTGGCTCATGCTATTGCGGGCGAGTGTGGCGCGACGTTTTTGAAAATCTCGGCTCCTGAAGTCGTGTCGGGCATGTCGGGCGAGTCGGAGCAGAAAGTGAGGGCACTGTTTGATGAAGCGATTGCGTGCGCGCCGTCGATTGTGTTTATCGACGAGATCGATGCGATCACGCCCAAGCGCGAGACATCTGCGCGGGGGATGGAAAAGCGCATTGTTGCGCAGTTGTTGACGAGTATTGACTCGTTGAGTTTGGAAAACACGGGGGGCAAACCAGTGGTGCTGATTGGCGCGACGAACCGACCGGATGCACTGGACTCGGCGTTGCGTCGCGCTGGACGGTTTGACCGTGAGATTTGTCTTGGTATTCCAGATGAAGGAGCACGGGAGAAGATTTTGCGTGTCTTGGCACGGAAAATGACACTTGAGGGAGATTTTGACTTTGCGACGCTCGCTCGTCGTACGCCGGGGTACGTTGGTGCGGATCTGGTGTCGCTGACGAAGGAGGCGGCGGTGGGAGCCGTGAACCGCATTTTCACGACGATAAATGAAGCGAACAAGGTGGCAGGAAAGATTGATGCTTCGAACGTGCTTGATACGTCAGAGGCGTCGGGTACGATTGTTGGCAATGAGGTAATGGATGTGGAGATGACTCCGGATCAAGTGACGGAGCAGGGCGTTGACCAGACAAGGTCAGCAGCAGACGACCTGCGTGCTCAGGTGAAGCCGTTTACGGAAGCGCAGCTGGCCCCGCTTAGCATCACAATGGCTGATTTCGAAGCTGCGATTCCAAAGGTGCAGCCGAGTTCGAAACGAGAGGGTTTTGCTACAATTCCGGATGTCTCGTGGGACGACATTGGTGCTTTGCGGGAGGTACGGGACGAGCTGTCTCTTGCTGTTCTGCAGCCTATTGCGCACCCGGAAAGATTTGCAGCTCTTGGTTTGTCTATGCCTGCTGGTGTATTGCTGTATGGGCCACCCGGTTGTGGCAAAACATTGCTGGCCAAAGCCATCGCCCATGAAAGTGGTGCTAACTTCATCAGTATCAAGGGACCCGAACTTCTGGACAAGTACGTTGGTGAGTCGGAGCGGTCCGTACGCCAGGTATTCCAGCGCGCTCGAGCCTCGTCTCCCTGTGTGATATTTTTTGACGAGCTCGACGCTCTGGCGCCTCGACGCTCGGGTGGTTCCGGTGGTGATGCTGGTGGCAACGGCGTCAGTGAGCGTGTCGTGAATCAGTTGCTGACGGAAATGGATGGCTTGGACGGCCGTCGCAACGTCTTCGTGATTGCTGCTACGAATCGTCCGGATATTATCGACTCTGCCATGCTGCGGCCTGGTCGTCTCGATAAGCTGCTTTATGTGCCCCTGCCGGAAGCATCGGAACGATACCAGATTCTGAAAACGATCTCTGCAAAGTGTGCGATAGCATCGTCCGTCCAGCTCGAGGCGATTGCCGCCGACTGTCGATGCGAGGGCTTTAGTGGTGCCGATCTCAGTGCTTTGGTTCGTGAGGCTGGCATCACAGCTCTGCGTGAGACTGATTTTTCAAAACTCGAGGCAGGTGCCACGACAAAGATGGGAATCGAACACCACCATTTCATAAGCGCGTTTGATCGCGTTTTCCCGTCGGTGTCCCGTGCTGACCAGCGCATGTTTGACCGGATGAAGAAGAATCTTCGGAAATCGCGCTCTAGTATGATACCAAGCACGAACAGTGCTGCAGAACCATTGAGCAAAGCTGTCGAGGATGAAAGTGAGGTTGCACGGGGAGACAGTAGTGCGAAAGATGATGTTAGTATGACTTAACGGAAGTAGTAGAGATACCTCAAGGAAAACGGGTGTTCATGGAAAATATCTACCACTGCGCTAAGATACCTGTCTTTGTACTGCAGAACGGTAGTCAGAGGATATAAAGGTGGGTTTGATGATGTCATGTCGTTATCTCAGCCATGTTGTAACAGACAATATCAGCACCATTTTTTAGGTTGGCAACCGGCCCTGGATGCCATTTGCGATAGAAATGTACCGTTGCACACGAACAAATGTAGGAGCTTGCATACAATGACAGGTATAAACCGCAATCCATATGGTCGGACACACACCGCTCGCAACGAAGATGTTGTTGCAAAAGTTGTTGTACGCCTTCGTGTCTGTGGCATGCAAAACAGTACGTGGAGTAAAATGCGCAGTACAAAAGTGCAGCAGTCACTCATCCATTGCTGGTTGCAGCTTGTTCCAAAAGAGAGCATCAAGGACTTGCTGGGTTCAATAACACTTCCATATACAAGTTTTGCCAGTTTGTGACAGTCTGTACCGTCTGAAGACTGCACAGGAGATTACAGTTCGTGGTACGACAAAAAGGAAATTAATCGATTAAACTCGTTCCATCTGACATTTTCAATGGCGTCAACTGTTGCTGGTCGACGACGTGATGTCGGTCTCGCAAGTCGCAAAAGTCAGATTTTTTTGACAGGATAAGAGTGCAATCGTCGCAATCGTGTTTTCTGCGATAAAACCTCGATAATATCCAATCGTGCCACAACGGGTGCTCGAAACCGATCTCTCTGCGATTTCGTTTTATCCAGTTGTTTTTTCAGGTCACCGTTGCGCCGGATGCTCACTCGCTGTCTTGGTGTGACTCGCATACCGTTCCGATACAGCAGCACTAACGCCATGAGCTCTGTCTTTGCGACGACAGACGCCAACAATAACATCATCCTATCGCCCGAGAAACCAACTGCTGCAGTCAGTTTTATCAAGCTTTTTTCAATTGACTTGCGATAATATCCGGTATCTTACTCCACGTTGTCCTTCCTACCAGGTCGTGTTCCTCCATGGTTTGGGCGACACTGGTCATGGCTGGAAAGATGCAATGACCGTATTGGCCAAAAATCTCCCGCACGTGAAATTTGTGCTGCCTACCGGTAATTCGATCAATGACACGACGGTATTGCAGTGGATGATATATCGATCTTTTGACGAATATCTGTGGAATATCTCGATTTTGCAGCTCCGACCATGCCAGTGACGCTCAATATGGGCATGCAGATGCCGTCATGGGTACATTTTTCAGCTTCACATCGAAATGTATCCATATTCAGCGGAATCGAAGATGGTCCGTACTGACAAAAGAGGTGGTTATTGCTGCGATATGCAGTACGATATCAAGTCTCTATCTCGTGTGGATGGAGACAATGCCGATGGAATTGATACGTCTCGTGACCGTATCATGGCGATCATTGATAATGAGGTGAGCGGTAGAAGATTCTCTACTATTTTGAAGTGGAGATGAACGGAACAATACCTTGCTGATACTTTTTGCTGCTGCGGTTGTTGGTTTCCGTTCGACTGGACGACTTGCAGGTGACTCAAGGCATTCCCTTGTCACGCATTGTACTCGGTGGATTCAGTCAAGGTGCAGCGTTGTCGTTGTTCTCGGGGTACCAGACAAAGACGGTGCTTGGTGGTGTCATCTCCATGTCGGGATTCCTGCCGCGTTTCAGCGTACGCCCCTGCAGACTTTTGTCAGGGTGAAGAAGGGAGATTGTGACTGGAGGTGGGTGATGTTGACACGGTTCCTTTGTCCTCGGTGGTGTGTCGTGACAGTCGTTCCAGCTTAGTCCAGAGACGGCAAACGTACCGCTGCTCATGTGCCATGGCGAGCAGGACCCGGTCGTGCGTTTCGAATACGGCAAGATGTCCAAGGAGAAACTGGAGACGACAGGCGTCAAGGACGTTGAGTTCCACTCGTATCCGGATATGGAGCACAGTGCTTGCATGGAAGAGCTGAGCGATGTGACCAAATGGCTTCAGCGCGTGATTCCAGCGACGAAGAACTAGTTGCCTCACGAGTGAGCAATACAAAATGCAGTCGTTCTGTTGTTGACATGACTGTGTCCGCCTTGCTCACGTCGCAACATCCGCAACACTGCAGTATCGAGACAATGACAACATCATCTTTCAGGCGCAGATGTCGACATATTGGTGGCATTTATGTGCGAGCCGTAGCTTTTGCTCGAGTACCTCCAGTTACGCCTCAGGCGATCGTGTCTATCAGCATCCCTAGCTTTTTGTCAGCGTGCAGGAGACTTGACCCTAGTAGAAAGAGTCCCACGGCAGTGTAACTTTCCTTTGCAGACTTGAACCCAGAACGATGACCAGGTCGACATGGTCTCGCAGCATCGCGAGCGGCTCGTCCCGTGTAGCGCTAGAGCTCCACAGGGAGATGCGATATCAATTTGACTGTAAGTTGCATCACCAAATCACCGCTGGCATTAACCTCTTGGCTGCTATTGATTGTCAGTTGCGGCTCGACGGCAACCACTCCATAGCCAAGAAATCTCTGCGTAAGTGAAGAAATGGACACCTTGTCTCCCACAACCAGACAACCAGACTCAGAAAGCTACCGAAGTAAAGAGGAATGGCGACCATGTTTATACGTTGGTCAAACTCAAACGGGCGAGTAAGGGATCGAAAAAGGCATGATTCCTGCATACCATATCGCACGTTGCTGTGACATTGTCATCGAATCGTATTGACATCTTGCACCCACAATGAGTTGCACTGCAAAACTGTCAACCTTGTTGCCCCTCAAATCCTAGTGCAACCACTTGTTATTACCGGGACACCACTGCGTCAGCGGGAGTTAGCGTAAAGCCGAAACAGCTCGGTACGGATGCAAAAAAGGCAAGAACGAGGCAGAAGAAGCACTCGAGATCGACCGCCACGACGCGAGCACTCACTGCGACAACACACTCAATAGTGCTACTTGTGACCGCCAACAACCGGCTTGACATTGTTCAGACTGCCAGCACAGCAAGCGATCACATCGGTTTACACATACACATTAATAACCACCCATCAGCTCCTCTCGTTTACTTGACCCACGTACTTGATGGTAATGCGAAGGTTGCTGCCTTTTGGCACGTCGAACTTCTTGGGGTGCGACCGAAAGTGGTTGATAATGTTCGACACGTCCAGTCCTCCACATGTCGCGTTCTTCCCCTTCCCCTGCAAATTGCGCACCGCCGACGTCTTGTGCGGCCGCAACTGCACAGTTGGAACAGCCTTTTTTCCCTTCTTCACAGCCAGCACAAGTCCCGTCCGCCGCTTGTTAATCACAGTCTGTCTCTTGGCCGAGGCCATGCTCGCAGACGCTTTTGCGCGCTACACACACAGGCATCACAGCAAAAGAAAGTAAGAAAGAAAAACTCCGACCCCCCCTCCCCTTTCTCTCTCTCTCGACGTACTGCCGCTTTGGATACGGGCACGAGCACCGTCTTCTTCACATTTTGCTGCTTGTGGCTCTTTTGAGCGTCCGAGCGCTGCTGCTTCTCGGTCTTCTTGCCTCCAGTATGGGTCTTTTTGGCTCGAGCTTGTTGCTGTTTGGTATTCTGGATTAAAATGTCTACAAAGAAAAAGCAATTTATAAAAAGACACATACGAGTCAAGGGAACTCATCAGCAGAGACAAGAGCGACTAGAGACATTGCGTCAAGCTGTACCAAGAGGGAGGGAGAGCTTCTCCTCGGACGAGATGCCGAGCGAGAACCTGCCTGGCGTCGTCGTCGTCGTCGTGATCGTCATTTGTACCAAGACTCTCTTGTTTTTGCTGTTGCTAAAAAGTGAGGCCGTGGCGTGAAAAAGACGCAGCTGTCAAAAAGAGGTCTAGTTTTTCGCAGCGACTGGGGTGGAAAACCGGTAAATCATGAACCGGTATGGAGAGAAAAGCTTTTGTGAAACAGCCCCCGTGTTTCGAGCGCTTCTTATGGACGCAGCTGCTTTTTATACACACAACTGCTTTTTATCGATGCAGCTGCTATTTTTGTTCGCGGAACTGCTTTTTAAAGGTAGAGCTGCTTTTGAAACAGCGGTGACGCGACGCGGTTCCAGTTGTCTGGCCAGTGCTATCCAGAATACAAAAATCATAGCGTCAGTGTTGTAGGTGCCATTAAAGTTAGGAGCTGATGGCAGAGAATACTCACTTCCACCGTCTGCAAAGACGACCGTAGACGGTTGAGCTGAGGAGTATCTGTCGGGTAGCCCTTGAGAAGACCATAGACTTGAGTACAAAGCTGCTCCGGCGACTCAAACACCAGACCGTTCCTATGCAATTGTGAGCATCTCAAGGAATCAACACGGCACCCACGATGCGGTAGAGTATGCACATAGACTTTGTAAACGTACTTGTCGTGCTGTACAAGCTCATCTAGGCACTTGAATCCGATGGCGCATACGGGAAGACCGCAGCCAAACATGTCCAAGACTTTCATGGGTAAATCTAGGCCGGACGATGAAGTGTGCAAGCATACACCCAGATCGGCACTGCCCAATATGAGCGGATAGTCACTTGCGTCAAGCCACCTATTGAGTAAAAACCCGAACCAAACGTGAGAAGATTAGACCTCTTCATGCATTGCACCGCAAAAAAAAAAAAAATGCCGCACGCACATCGTCGCGATCCGAATGCGCTTGAAGGCGAGCTGTTCGATCTTCTCGAGATACATTGCCTTTTGAGGTCCCCGGCCCGTCACCACAACCAGCAGGTTCGGAAACTCGGCCGTGCTCAGCGATGACGTACGTTTGTCGAGAAGCTCGAGTGCTGCAAGCAAAATGCCAAAGTCTTCATCTGCTGTCCAGCTTGTCGAGCTGATGATCATAGCTGGTCGGTTCTCGCGAGATTGCACCACACCTCTTTTCTTCTTGCCACTGGGACCACGAACAATGCGTGTGAGAAGCGTTTCCTCCAGGTTGCCCCGGTTTTGGTCCCATGTTACCAACTGCGTTCACCACCGTACAAATACCACATTAGTGAGCAACGCTAGACAAAAGACAAAACCATTCGATGACAGTACGGACATCATTGCAGTGCTCCAGCTGGTCTCCCACTCGAGTGAATAGCTCATGCTGTGTGTCGAGCGACGCGGGTTTGAAAAAAAGAGGAGGTTTGTCGTGCAACGCCGTAGCTTCGATTCCCCAAGTCTCTCTCAGCCACGTCTGCATCGCGTGGGTGACACACAAGTTGGCATCAGCCATGCGCCCAAACACACGCTCGATCCACTTGGCTATCTGTTCACAAGCAACATCGGAACGCAATCACCATCAACAAACAGACGGTCTCACACATCAGCAGTGTCCCTGAATCCACGACATTCCTTCTCGGCTCCCGCACCTTCACAAAAAAGTGTCCACTACCAAGGGACAGTGCCAATAGAGTGTAGCCCAGATTGTGCCAGTCAATGACAAACTTGGCACCTTTCAACCGACAGCAGAGCCACACGACCACAAACGTCGGGATCCTGTCATTCCATCCAACAGCCAACAAAGTCCATACAACAACCAGCCATTCCGAAGTTACAACCCCCACCATACAGCAACCAAGTCCGTAACATATTAATTCCAACACGCACGTTGGCGGGTTCTGCAGAAACACGAGGTCCACGCTGCCCGTTGTTACTATCAGCAGCCATACCAGCTGCAACATCTGCAGCACAATTTTTACAGGTGCCAACAGTACGAAAAACGTGCGCGGAACTCGCTGCAGACGCGGCGTGAACGTCAGTACGTTGATGTTTTTCTGACTCAAGACGTCGGGTACACAGCACTCGCCAGCGTAACCCACGAGAGTTACGCGCAGCTTCGTGGACATGCGTGCTAGCGACAGCGCGTGGTACTGCATACGAGGACTCCGTCCCACGTCACCCAGAACCATCACGACAGCATGACGAGGCGGATCGTCATCGCCGCGAGGGACGCGGAGCTTCTTGGCAGCTGGTCGACGCCGCCGTGCAGCTGTCATTTCGTTGATGCGCAGACTTTTATCCAATCAGTGACGTGCTAAACGAAATCGACTACGCGGACAGCGTGTCAGTCGCGTGATCACGTAATGTATATTTATCCAAGAAAAACAAGCAAACATAGACGGGCCAATTGCTATTTTTACATCGCACGTGCGCGGCAGACAAGGCAAGCGCTGGTTGTAGCCATCCATCTTCACGCAATGGGTACGTATACCACGTACGTGGCACATCACCTTGACGTCGTACTGCTGCGATACAGTAGTTTCGTCATGGACGGCAGCGAGTCCACGTCCGACTCGACGCTATTTGCGCGTGAGTGTTGCAGTCGGTCGTTGCTCAGCTGCGTTGCTGGCAATTGAAGCGACTCTGTCGTTGACGTGGGGGACGTCAGTGGCCAATGACTCGCATCTTCGCATGACGTCCATTGGTGGTGGGTCCACTCTGTCGACACCGCCGATTCGCTCGACGGAGACGCATACTCTCCTCCCCCTGCACTGGGGTCCACATCTCCTCGGGGCAGCATCAAGTGGTGAGTTCCTTCTTGAGGATCTCGGCCTTCAATAGCAGCTGTGAGCAGTGGTAACGCTTCGTCTCTGAATTCCTTGAGTGTCTGACGTAGACTGTGCCTGTCCAAGTGCTTGCATGGCGACAGTGTCGCCGGTGGCAAAGCCCTCGAGGTTGCCTGCTGGGCAGTGGGGGTGATGAGGCTGGCCCCTTGAGCCAGAAGTCGAGCTCGTTCTTTTTGGATCTGCAGTTCAAAGTGCGGCATCGTCTGGTTGAGTCTTGCGAGCTTGGTAAAGAACTTCTGCGCATGGGTGCGCACTTGCGTGGACGTCCGGGTGCCAATGAGTCGCGCGATCTCACCCCACGCTGGTCCTTGAAACATCTCGAGACCCTTGAGGAACCACTGATGCTCGTCGCTGTGCCAGCGACCAACAGCGATCGGTTTGCTGCGACGGCGTACGACAGATTGCTGTACGGATGGCTTCCCGTCTTGAACGTGCTCGTAGAGTTCCTCTGCATTGACCGGAGCGACCCCCGGTCGCACAAACAATGGCGGCGAGAGGAACGGTTGGGTCTGGACACGTGGTGGTTGGACTTGATGAGACTCGTCCGTCCACGCGCAAAAAGGTGTGGGCGCGAGTTCCGAAGACGTGATTGGCAACGTACCGTACTCGTGCTCGTCGCAGCGAGAGTTCGTGATGTAGTTGGCACCACTACCGGCATCTTTGATCCAGCCGCATCCAGGCGACGGCTGTTGCTGGATCAATGGAGACGGTTCGTGCTGATGCGGGGGTGCCTCCTGCAAAGAGAACCAGTCGGTTTGTGCTTGAAAAAGGGGTGACACGCGCTCCGAAGGTGCAGTCTCCTGCTGCCACGTTGGACGGTCGGGGCAACCGGGATACATAATGACGACGATAACGAAGTGCGTTCTTCAAAATTAAAAACACTGCGGGTCCCAAGCCCAAAGTATGCGCTAAGTGTGGCCAAAGAGCTCAGATGGGCACGAGGCGGCAAATTGGCAAATGGCTGCTGCTCTGGGTGCAGTCGTCGATGCCATTCTTCTTTTGGCTTGGGTTCCTGCACCTCTTCCTCTTTCTGGCTCTTCTCCACTGACATCGATCGCTTAGCATTCCATTTTTCAGCTTTGCTAAAATGGACGCGAAGACCACAAACAATCGAAACTTCCCGTATCCCGTAGCTCGAGCCATTGCACAGCCCCGCCCCTCTGCCAAGGCGTCTGTCTGTACGTGCTTTTTGACACTAAATACCATCTCCGGCCTTACCCTTAGAGCGAGCGAGACCACGAAAGTCGTCGGCCGCATACGTTCTACCTGCCGGCCGAGCCCGTCATTGATTTCGTGCCACTCACCATCACTTGCACTTGCTGCAACTGCCAAACGAGGTGCCGTCGACACTTCATCCCGCACGAGTGAGCGGGCATGCAGCTACAGACAGTCATGATTGCCGTGCGAAGTACCTTCGAGGCGACAGGACAAACGCCGTGAAAGAGGACAGACTCGAGACACCTTGTCCTTGTGGCTGCTCTTTTTCACGCCTGCACCGCGCGCGTCGTGGGGACGATCGTTGCGTCACGAGTTTACGCGGGCAAGATACGGCTCAATGGAGCCCATGAGACAAGCGGCCCCACACGATCGGCGTTCCGCCACTTGATTATTCTTAGTTTTCCGACGCACCGTCAGACAATTGTTGCCCCATGCTTAGGACCTCAAGGACCCAAGTATCTGTCGCACTTCCTACAGTTCCGAACGATCCACGCCTGTGATTGGAAGAGTCCATTGAGTGCAGAGACGAGGATACCGTGCAAAAAAGAAGCACGAGGAAGAAGAAAAAGAAGAAGAAAAAGCTGCAAGAGTAGCCACACGGTAAAATACGAAACAACTAAAGCAAGCCCCGTGGTATTTTTCTCTGAGCCCGCTCGTTTATTTTATTTACCGGATAAATCATAAAATACCTGACACTCACCGCGAAGAAATAAATAACGAAATAAATATCCGCCACCTCGACACTCGTCACGATGGCCGAACTGTCCTTCCTCGCGCGCCTCGTGCTGACGCTACTCGTGTCCGCGCTGTCTCTCTTCCTGTACAAGCAGATGCAGTCTTCCTCACCGTCTTCTCCTGCTTCTCCTCCGCTGCCCGCGTCGCTCTCCTCGTCCGTCAAACGCTCGAAAAAGCGCAGTAAAAAACCAAAGAAAGCGGCCACAACAGCCGCAGCTGTTGATGCTTCGTCCAAGTCTGAGACATGTGCTGCAGAACCAGACGCTCCTGTTGCTGCTACTTCACTGGGTGCTGAGGACGATGATGAAGCGAGTGAGAGTGACTCGGATGCGGGTCTTTCGGCTGCGCAGGTGTTGGCTACGCGCAGATTCCAGCCCAAACGTCTTGGTGGCACTATACAAGCTGCTTCGAAGCGACCAGAAGACGCTCCCAGGTTTGCAGCTGGACAGGACGTGCTGGCTCGATTCCGGGGGGAGGAGAGGTGGTTTCCCGCTCGTGTCCTGGAGCGACGTAAAGGGAATGAGTACCACTTACAATACGACGACGGAGAGGTAGAGTACCGCGTTCCGGCCAAGTGTATCAAGTTACAGGTGGCTACAGCCGCCGAGGACGAAGGCACGAGTGAGGAGAAGGCTGCTGCACAAGCTATGGTTGTGGAGCCAGTGACAAACGAAGTGGTAGTGCAATCGAAGGAAGAGACGGGGTCCGACTCGAGCTCGGATGCTTCGGAGGATGACGGATGGCACGTGGTGGGAACGTCTAAAGCTGTCAAGAAACGACAGGTGCAGCAGGTGCAACTGGAGGCTCAAGCTGAGCCTTTGATTGACGGCCTCACGAAACGTCAGCGCGAGAATCGCCGCAAAAAGGAGCGACAACGGGAGAAGAAGGAACTGCTTCGTCAGCATGCCCAGAAGGATGATTTGGATGCTCGTGCGCGCTGGCGTTATGTGCCGTCGTAACACCAGAACTGGTCGTGCGGAGCTCTCTCGCTTCATATGCGACGAAGCAACCGCCAGTACGTTCGTACCTAACTACGCATCGCAATGGAAGGCAAGGATAAGCGAAGACATGGTTTCTTCTTAGCTATGCTTGCTGCGTGGTAAACACTCGATGAATGGTTGCCGATCGCCGGCGTTTTCCTGAGATTTTGAGCTTTTGCTCTTTTGGGCTTTCGGTGTTTGCTTGGTTTCTGTGAAATTTGTCGAGGGACACCAGCTCATCTTTCAAGGCATGGTCACGTGTATTCATTTTGCAGGGTTGGTCTTGGTCTTGACGCGAGTGAGGCTTAAAAGCGTGCACCCTCACTGGTACGTGCATTTTGAACTGAACACTCGTCTATATCTTCCACCAGTTGGCAACAGTTTTGATGATGACGAAGTGTCCATAGGATTCTCTCACGAGTATAGTGTCTGGACTCGTGCTGCACGAGCAACTCGCAGATGACTTCTACGTCGGCAACAACAACTTGCTTGCTGGACCGCAACCACATGCGCTATTTTTTCCGCCAGGGAGTGCGTTCGTAACGAACGGTGCAACATGTTACTACATGCAGTAATGGTTCATCTGGGGTCGAGCATACGGTATCGAGTGGCGCTTGCGCTCGATAGGCGATGCTAAGGTCACGATCACTTTTCTCCATTCGGACATCATTTCATTACGTCTTACGGCAGACGTAGCTTTTGGAGTTGTGGAACCGACTAACCTACCTGCAACCGTATGTCACATCCAAGACGTCTTCGGAGTACCATTCAAACCAGTGACTGGTTGTTATCGGCACCGTTCTAGCAGTGCATTGAGCGCCTCAATATCCATGTTTACTGCACAGACTGCACAGAGGACCACATTCACGCTTGATTCGATCGCTAGGACACGCATGCGTGGCTAAGATACATGCTACCGTCCATAGGGATGATGGCAACTCGTGTCAGGCAGTACGTAAGTGGAGAGGGTGCTCTCAGCTTGATGTTGAAGACATTCTTGCAATACACAGCTCTACACAAAAACCCGAAAAGAAACTGGACGAAGTGTTTCGGCAGAGTCAGGGATGCGTCGAATGCATCACCGAACCCCGATACATCCTGGCGCTGTGCCAACCTGAAGTTCAATCGAGATTAGTAAATTGCAGTCGAAGCCGAACACACAGGAACGATTGATCATGTTCGTGTGCCGATAAAATTATCATTGACTGCCACATGAAAGTGGATGCTATACTGCGGGGTACAAACAAGAAGGGACTGCTCGCTTTAGGCTACTTGTTTCATCTCCATACTTACGTTTTTCACGTCTTTCAGACAAGCAGGTTTTTTTTTGGCATCATGAGAAACGACGTGATTTTCGATCTTTATTGCAGTCCATCTATGTGCTTTCTCATGCTGAAGACGGGCTATACATGCCGAAGAGAGGTATTCAAATCGTCGTTGAGTCTGTGTTACACCAGCATGTCAATCATCTCCACATCCACATTGTAACTGCCGTATTTTTCTCGGTAAGCGTTGTTAGAATGTGGATACTCAGGACTCAACACAACAACTTGTTTGGTTTACGGAAAATGCAGGACTGGCATCTGCGCAACACAAGCTCTCGCTCGACTTCCAAACCGACTAACTCGTTCATCATCTTTCTCGTACAACCGTCATACCCGTTCGCACATAACGACATGAGCTCAATCCACCTTCCCGTGGTCAACTGATCAGCTCAATTCACCTTCCCGTTGTGTCAGGTCCCATTTTCATATATTGTAACACGCACATTCCAACAAGCGTCACAATATCTACGTCGTTGTCTGATCTACTCTCGTAGTTCATACGCGTTTCTTTTTTCTTCTTGACACTGGGATCAATTTGTAGGATTAGTTCAATGGGCATCAACTGATACACGTTTGGTGAAGCCAAACTAGCATTCACCCACAACTTGAACATCGTTTTTCAAAAAGGGTCCGTAGATCAACTGCGACGACCCTGGTGTATCTCCAGGTCGCTTATTGACAAGCAAACGTTTGTGCATCGTCGAAGCAAGAGATTCTGTAAATGGCTCAACGGAATCCGCACTCGAACGCACTCACAAACAACTTCTTGATTTTAAGGCAGTATAGGACTGACTGCAATATGCCTGTACTACGCTAACGCTTTTCTCCGACAATCACTCCTATGCTAAATCGAAAAATAGTCTTTAACCTACTTCCTCTGTTACCAAGTAGGTGCGGTACTCAGCACGCCTTCCTCCAAAGTTAGTCCGTCACTTTGGATAGATGTTACTTTGTTAAACCGATAATGGCGCATAACTTCACACGTCCGTTGCTTGCAAGAGGCTTCGTCATTATGTCAGGTGAATTGACATCGGTCTCGACCTTCCACAAATCCACATTTTTCTTCGCCACTTGATCTCGGACATATTGCCAGCGAAGCTCAAGGTGCCTTGTTCTGCAGCTGTAGGTAGGATTCGTTGCCAGTACAAAGGCAGCTTGATTGTCGACACCCATACGAATTTTAGTATCCATTTCAGGATACATTTGTATCAGGACGTATCGTAGTCCTTTGGCTTTCCATACAAACTTCACATGCGGCAACATATTCTGCCTCTGCAGTTGATTGTGCCACGATTGTTTGACGTCTTAAAGCCAAAAAACTGCTTACCCAGCAAGGCAGTGCGCACAACCGGTGATCGACTTACGCGTATTAGGGTCGTTACCCAAACAGAGTCACAATAGCCATCGTTATGAGTCTTGTTTCCTCCTCTGCCTTGCTTCGAGAGTACACGATGCCGTGACTCTTAGTACCAGTTAAGTACCTCTTTTACAGCGCGATATGCGACTGCGTTGGACTTTGCACATAGCGGTTGAGCTGTCCGACAGAAAATGCGAGATCCGGTCTGGTGCAAGTCGTCAGGTGCATGAGCGATCGAACTAGTTCACAATATGGAAATAAGTTGCCGTTGGCGGGAACATCCTTCCACCGATCCGTATCTGTATTTCTTAACATACAGACTCATGTTTGTTTCCATTAGACTTCGTCTTGTACAAGCCTTTCTATAGTCAAAGCGCTCAATGATCACCTCACAATACTTCATCTGGTGAATCTTAATAGTTTCACTCTTTTGCTCAACCTGCACACCCGAAAATGTGTTAATTAGACATTGGTTGTTTAGCCCGTAAGCTTTGTCAAGCCTCTCGAACATTCGCTGCTTGAACTTCGCGTTCTTGGAAGCGCAAAAGTGTCGTTCACGTAGAGGAGGACAATCACAAAGATGCCATCACGGTCATAGAAGTAATGGCTCCGTCTCACACTGCTTGAATCCATAATGAATAAACCAGATATTAAACTCCGTATTCCACTCTCCTTCTGACTGGTGTAGTCCATACCTTGCTTTGTCGATGATATGTACCATCGCTTTTTCTGCACACGGGTAGCCCTCAACTTCTTCGATGCTGCTTTATGCCCAGTGTTGCTTTTAGGTAGGCTGCGCTATTTACATGGTATTTACATACCATGTAAATAGCCATGTCTTGTATGATGCACACAGCATAAACATCCGAAACGTGACCATGCGTGCCACAGGAAAGAAAATTTTCATGAAATCAATAACAGGTCGCTGTTTTTCACCCCGTACAACAACGCGTGCCTTAGATCGTACCACGTAGCATAAGTGATCCGTCTTCACGTCAAAATCCCACATTGCGTTAATGGTTCGGTGATTGGTCGGCACTTCCGGCCGCGGAATTTGATCCTGTACTTCTTTGTTTTGAGAGCATCAATCTCTATGTTTGTTGTCTCTCGCCATAGTTTAGCATGCTTTTGTCGCATAGCCTGCCTGCAATCTTTTGGTATCTTACCATATGTCGTGCTCGCCTCATGTCTATCTCGACGATCGTCGTCTAAGGTATTGAAAGCAGAATACACCTTGTTATTTTCAGTCCTTTCGAGCTTTTGTTGCTCTCCAATATTCAGTTGCAGTAAGTGCCATGCTGTAGCATCCATCAATCGATTTGATTGTACTTTGGTACGCTTCTTGTCGCGCGTCCGTCGAAGTTCTTCATCTCTAGGATGTATATGACAAAGAAGTAAATTAGATGAAATTGCCAACAGTCGTAAGCCTCACGTTCACCACTTGGTTTAAAGAGGTAGTCCCGCTCGTTTTCATTTGTGCCGGATTCATATCCAGCGTCATCGATGGTAACCAGATCCGCAACGTGACCCACTGACTTGGTAATCTCCGGATCATAATCGCGATCAGTTTCACTATCTCCAATGACGTACTCAAGAAAGCGACATTCCGATATGTCATCCGAATCGCTTTCATCGCCATCAAATTCGTCATTATCAGCCCTTGTAATAGCAACTCCATCGTAATCGTCACAATTATGCGCCCTGATAGCATTCGGGACATCGTCTTCAGTGTACTCTATACTCCCTGCGTGGTCGATGTCTGAGTGTGCAACATCATCTTCGCCACAGTTAGAATCTTTGTCATTTTCGAAGTCATGATCATATTTTGCGCTCAGACTATCTGCAAGTTGGACCGAGGACTCCTGCTCTGTATCGTCATCCGATGTGTAATCTCCTTCTTCTTGCACATAACTTGATGATTCGTAATCGGGAAGACGGCTATTCTGCAGTATGTCGTCCCATGTACTTCGATCGGTACTCGTTAATTCGTCGCTAAATCTGCCATTTACTTCCATAGCTTTCGTTGCTTCGCTGTTCGTCACCATGTCGTTCCATGCATTCCTATCAGCCTCGTTCAGGGTGCTTTTAGCCAAGACCATCTCAACATCAATTCATTCACGCTGCTGTAATTCAATGTCATATTCGGCTAGTTGGAGAGCGCTCTCGTAGTCACCATACGCATACGCAACAAGCTTGTCTTCATCAAATGGCCCATTAAGGGTGTGCAGCCATTTCTTGACCGTTGTGGTGCATCAGCTCTCATAGCGATCCTTTCATTACACTAAATCATTAATCTTCACGTCCGATACAAAGCCTTTCTTGTGTCCCGTGGAGAAATGCACATGAAAAACGACAACACCCTCTCGGTAGCCGAGCATAAACCCATTCTGCAGTTCATGTTCACTTTTCTCTTCTTCAAAACCGGAACATGGCAGTAGGTTAAGGAGTTAAGCGATCTGGCGTGGCGTATGTTCATTTTTGACCCAAACATAGGTTATAATGCGTGCATCTTGCACTCTTTCAGTACACCTTGCTCTTTACGTACACAGAGTTTTCTAGCGCGTAAAACCAAAAACGACTTCGGGAATCCAGACTACTACATCACTTAATTAACCTTTTCTATCAGTGACTGATGCGTTCGATCGACCAAATTTAGCTGAGCTGCATGTGGACCAACTTTAGTGTGTACGATACCGTTTTCGTTAATTAGTCTCCCTTGTCCCATTGCAGAGCTCATTTCCCTTATTAGTCAGTACTTGACGTACCAAGCATTTCCGGTCAGCGTCACCGTCGGATAAATTACGGGAATCGACTCGATTAAATCGATTTGAATGTTTTCGCTCGGCCTACTTTGTATTAATCTTCACTGGCTGGTTCACTTCTCTTTCTGTCTTAGAATTGAACAAACATGTCTTCACAAAGCGAGAGCAGCCATCCATAATCACAAGATTTGCGAACATGGTGACCAGTAAGTCGCCTCAGGTAGAAGTAGGTCAGCAAAATCAACATCATTCACTTTCGTGATGTTCCTGTCGAGTTGCTTTCGGGATGTCTTTCGTGTTGCTTGCCGAAGTGGCAATCCACACAGTCACTTTTGCCCCGGCGTTGGAGCATGACCCCCTTAGCCATCCCCCGATCAGCCATAAGCCTAATGTACTCGGGACATACATGCCCAAGTCTTTCATGTCAGACGTCAATGTATGCAATCGCATCCGTAACAGCAAAGTTTGCAAGCGTTCTCTTCTTTTCTTTAGTTTGACCATTTATGCTCACACAACCGCTGATGTTGTGAGTCAAAACTGTCCACAGTTGGTTTTCGTAAGATATTCGAATCACCTCTGCTACATTTTTGATCAACCCAAACAATCGTGCATCGTTTTCTCACGTCATCTTAAACCCTTGGTCCAGCGACAATCCGGGTGAAAAAAGGTTGCAACCAGCACTTGGGTCGTATAAAACATTCTCAAACATCAACATTACCATTTGTTCGTCGAACTTAACGGCAAGAAGGATAGTCCCAAATCCTCCGCTTTGGCATCAACTTGGCAAGCAACCCCTCGATACTTGGAATCCAATCGCTATCTTCCATCATCGGCAGCGTTTTGAAGTTCTCTTTGCACGCTGTGATATGTGCATCGGAACCCGTGTCAAAATACCATCGACAACGTTTATAGTATTTATTGACGAGTTTGACGACATCTCCAATCACAACTATGAAATTTTTGTACCTTCACTTTCATCGTCCCGATTTTCTGTGGTTCCTGGTTCCAATGATGTTCCGCCTGAAATCGCGTAATTAGTTCTTGCGTTCTTCTTTACATCCAGATTGGGCAATCACGTATAAAATGATCCCCACCATGATTGTAGCAACCATCACTTCTTGTCTCGGGTGATGGTACTTTTTCAGGTCTATGTGGCTCCCTACCTTATTGTAACGGGGTGAATCGTTACATAACAATTTATAAGAAATTGTTAATAGAATATAACTAAAAGAGTTATATTCTCAGAATATTGTCATGAGGACAAATATTCTGTAGCACTTACGAGTAGTTCCTAATTGGTTGATATAGGCCATTGTATCAACCAACGAAGACGCGCCATGACAGACGCACGCAATGAGTGGTGAGCAGATAACTGATTTACACATTTGTATTTAGACATAGTTAGATGAAGATAAATAATGATTTATTGCAGACATTAACTATTATAAATACAGTTCTACTTTTTACTTTAACCAAGTACTCGCTTCTTCTTACCGTCTTCCTCTGCACGTACGAGTGTACGTGAAGTTACGAGGCACCGCCTTATTCTGTCATCAGAATAAGTAGCTTGTACTGTCACCAGTACAAGCTTCAGGGTGCCCCGTTACACCTGGTAGCACTTCGTAGTCCGTTCAAGGACCACGTTCACATCCAACATGAATATGTTGGATGATGAAGATGACCAAAGCTTTCACGCTACGCGTGAAGGCTACTCCCATTCGAGCGATGTCGAATGGGATGCGGTTGAACGAATGGGTTCGACCATGGGCATCCATGCTGTTAGCGTCATGCTAGAGGCTCTCAATAGAGATGCCCAACATGCTACTATCGCCAAGTTCATTCAAAATGAACTTGACGCTGAACGCGAGAAAGTAGCCTTGCTTCACCAACAAGGTTATCAACAAGCAGAGTTGTTGAGAGAACAAGGTGCTCAACAGTTTGAACTGTTGAGACAGCAGCAGGCTGCTGCTGGTGGGTCGATGCACTCGCGTCGACCCGAAACCTTGAAGATTGACATCTCCAAGTATAGGGGAGTCGAAGAGGACTCCCTCTTGAGATGGTTCGTCGAATTGGATGACGCCATAAGAGCGCGTCGCATCGACGATGGGGATATGCAAGTTGCATTTGCCCAGTCAAATCTGGCAGGACGTGCCAAGACTTGGGCACTGGGGCTCAAGTTACACGACCCATATGCGTTTGGGTCGTTGGAAGTCTTCAAGTCGCGGCTCAGAAAAACGTTTGAACTGCCTAGAGCTGAGTTCAGGGCTCGAACCGAACTCTTGAAGCTCAAGCAGGGTAAGCGTGATGTGCACGCTTACGCGCAACATATACGACATCTCACGAGTTGTATAAGTTCCAATCCGGTGGATGAACACACGTTGGTTTCGGTGTTCATGCAGGGTCTTGCGGATGGTCCCGTCAAGACTCACCTGTTCCGGCTTGAACTAGATTCACTAGAACAAACCATTTCCATTGCGGAGCAGGAAGACTTCAGTCTGAGACAGGCTCGCTCCAGCTCGACATCATATCGTCAACCGAGACGATATGACAGCGGAGGTCCAGAGCCGATGGAACTCTGTTATGTAGAGAGCGAGAAGGCTCGCTCTACAGGCTACAAGAGGTTGCAGAGATGCAACAGATGTCAAAAGACAGTACACTACGCTTACGAGTGTAGTGCCCCTCGTCCAGTGTCTCGCGACACTGGGCGTAATGACCGTCCACCCATGAAAAAGGGGCAGGGACGAGGGTCCGCTGTTGGTGCAAAGACGCAACAACGGGATGGACCGTCAAAAAACGGACAGGATCAGTAGGTGCGGTGCACCCTACTGGTCCAGCAACGTCAAGAGAATTTGTAGGCCTCTTGATGAAGGTTGCTGCCAACACACAAACGTTGTGCGTTGCTGCTCTAGGTAATGAGATCTCACTCATTACCTTGAAACTCGAAGTGACGAATAAGTTGTCCCTTCGAGCTCTGGTCGATTGTGGGGCGTCCAACAATTTTGTGCGACGCCAATCGCTAGAAGATGGTCACTTTAAGTTCAGTGAATGTGACACACCTCCTACGAGGATGACGGTACGTCTTGCGACAGGCGCATCCGTAACCGTCATGAAGCGTATAGTGAAGATCCACTATACGCTAGAAGATACCCAATATGACGATGACTTTATCGTATTGGATTTGGATGACAAATTTAATATCATCCTTGGAATACCGTGGCTCAGAAGGTACGAACCACGGGTAAACTGGCAACATCGAACAGTAACGATGCCTGCCGCTTGTTCATCAGATGGCCATCCGATGAACGTTTTGGAGAGTCCACAAGCGTGTGGATGTACTACGAGTGAGTGCGATGGCCTCACTTGTGGTACGGTCGTTAGTACGACTGCACAAAACCTTAGTGTAACAAACGGTTACACTTCGGAGCAAAGTTCCGGCGGCTGTGAGGAAACAAAGGCTGCGCCGAAGGTCCACCACTCGAATAAGTCGAGTGGACCGGGACAAAGATGTATCCCTAGCGGGGAACATCTAGAAGAGAAGCAATCGATCGATCAGGTTAAGCGAAACGAAAATCCTAGATCGACTGGAGAGTCTTTCGTAGAGGATCTCGCTGTGGTTGCGCAACCCCAGCTAGAGGAAGTAAAGGGAATAAGTCCCGATATAACAAATACGGCGGAAATAAGTTCCCCGAAACCCGCGGGAATAAGTCCCCGGGAAGCCGAAGGAATAAGTCCTTCGAGGCCTGAGGGAATAAGTCCCCAGGAAATGACAGAGACATTGAATGTCATAGTCAATAACGGATCAAGTGTAGGCGCTTATACACTTGATCTGATTGCGCCTCCGAAGTTAACTTCGGAGATCACTCAGTTGCCAACGCTCGAACATAAAAGGTTCTTGCGTGATCTGCGTAGTGGCAAAGTCGAGCAGATCTGCGTACTCGTCGCTGACGACGAGTGTGTAGCCGACATAAGGTCAGCAACAGTGTTTACTGAGAACGAGAGAGTTCTCAGTAGTTCATCTATGGACGAGAGTGTCCTAGATGAAAAGACACGAGTTGAGCGATATGACTCCCAATCATGGGAATCGCTCAAGAAAAATCCTCTCTATGAAGATTTGGTTGAATTCAAGGATGTATTCCCTGAAACTGTTCCGTGCGAATTACCGAAGGATAAAGGTATTCGGCACGAGGTCGAGCTTAAACCAGGCTCGAAGTACTGTGTCATGAAGCAGTGGCCACTGCCTCGTGAACAAGTACTTGCGATCGACAAGTTCTTTGCCGATCGTTTAGCTGCGGGCCATGTGAGGGAATCAACTTCCCCACATAGCTCTCCGACCTTCTGTGTGCGAAAAGCAACAGGAGGGTGGCGGATAGTGCATGCATTTAACAAGTTGAATGCTGCAACGGTACCGGCTCAGACGCCGATACCGAGGAAGGACGTAATCATTGATGGTATGTCAAAGAGCACCATCTTTTCGTCCATGGATTTGATGGATGGCTTCTATCAAATCCTTATGCGGGAACGGGATATACCCTATACCGCAGTTAGCACGCCTATCGGCATGCTCTGGGAATGGCTAGTAATGCCACAAGGGCTTAGTAATGCCCCTGCCACATTCAACAGATGTGTGTCACATCTGTTGAGACCAGTACGAGAATTCGCGCCGAGTTATTTCGATGGCGTATTCATCCATAGTCGAGCTATGGATGGAAAGTCGGACGTTGAGGTTCACAGGTACCACGTCCGACAGGTTCTTACATCATGCGAAAGCATCAATTGTATGCAAACCTCAAGAAGTGTATATTTGCAGCAAGCGAAATACCACTTCTTGGGTGCATCGTTGGTAAGAACGGTGTACGTCCTGATCCCGAAAAGATCAAGGCGATCACCGACTGGCCTGTGCCGGTTGATGTCAAAGGTCTTCGAAAATTCCTTGGGCTAGCGGCGTATTTGCATAAGTATTCACGAAATTACGCCAAGATGACTGTGCACCTTTCTCGTTTGTTGAAAAAGAACGAGAGGTGGTTATGGAACGCTGAATGTCAGCGCTCCTTTGATGGTATCAAGCAGAGCTTGATACAATCCCCAGTCCTAGCAATAGCCGATCAGGACAGGCCATTTCATGTGGTCTGTGATGCCAGCGATTTTGCAATCGGCTGTGCATTAATGCAGTACGACCTTAAAGGCGTTGAACGCGTCGTCTGCTATCAGTCGCGTCAGCTGCAACCAGCTGAGCGGAACTATCCAGTGCATGACAAGGAACTCCTTGCCATGAAGTATGCACCCGCGAAGTTCAGAGTCTATCTATTAGGAGATAGACCCTTCATTGTGTACACTGACCATGCGTCATTACGAACGGCAGTGAACAGCCCGCACCTTTCACAACGAATGGCGCGGTGGTTGTCATTCTTTGCGGAATACAACTTTACGGTCGAGTACAAACCAGGACGACTTAATGTCGTCGCTGATGCACTCTCACGTCGTCCCGACTTTGAAACAGTCGCGAAACCCAACAGTGAGACAGTCACTGTTGCGGTTATGACGTTCTCAGTCCCATCTACAACGTTGTATGATGATGTGAGGCGGGCATACGCCCAAGATGGTGAGATAGTGAAGTTGTTGACACATCTCTCCCAACCATCTCGAAAATCGTTGAAACGATTGTCGCCTGCGTATTGATCTGCATCAGATCGATACACTACTCGTAACGGTTTACTGTATTATACAGCCGTTTCTGGTGACACACCACGTGTTGTCATTCCAGATGATACTGATCTGCGTTTGCGGATCATGTTCGAGTATCACGATGCTCCTATAGGAGGAAATCGTGGCCGGGAGAAAACGTATCTCACGGTAAGTCGAGACTTTTACTGGCCCCGCCAGTATCAGTTTGTGCGAAAGTATGTTCGCGCATGCGAAGTCTGCCAACGAGTGAAGTCAAGTCCTTCACTGCGTGCACCTTTACAGCGTCTACCAGTTCCGTCAGAGTGTTGGGAATCCATCTCGCTGTAATTCGTCTTCGGGTTACCCAAAGACGCACGCGGGAATACGGGTATTCTCGTATTTGTTGACAGATTCAGCAAAATGGTACACCTTGTGGCTGTACCAGAGACAATCACGGCAAGTGACTGTGCTTGTGTCTTTATTGACACCATCTTCCGACTTCATGGGTTGCCCCGTGAACTCGTATCAGACAGAGATCCACGATTCACTGCTGATTTCTGGCGTTCCGTGTTCAAATCACTCGGAACGCGCTTGAAGATGTCAACATCTGATCATCCAGAGTCAGATGGTCAGACGGAACGTGCCAACCGTGTCCTCGAAGAGATACTTCGAGGATACGTACACTCCTTTAAGAGTTGGAGTGAGTTTTTGCCAATGGTAGAGTTTGCCATCAACAACTCGGTGCATGCGTCCACGACACATACACCGTTTTACGTGAATGGCTTGCGCCATCCGCGTGTACCCACCTTACTAGAGTGTAACTCTGGTTTAAGGGGGGGAGAGACTCGCGCAAGCAAAAACCGATTTGGTTCACGCTCATCACGTTCTGAAGAAGAGGTCATTGTGTTTGATGCCGATATCGATAACATCGATATCGAAGAAGATGGTGCCAGTGAGAGTGCGGAAGCCCTCACTGAAGAAAAGATTAATGTTGCTGCAGTGCGCTCACGGCGCACTGAAGCTAACGAGTCGTCAGATGAGTTTATACTGGCTCGTGAAACGGTAGTCCGTTTTGTGCAAGACTCCATCGCCGAAGCGGTGGACAAGCAAAAGCAAAACGCTGACAAGAATGGAAGGGCAAACACTCTTTTATTTAATAAAGGTGACTTAGTCCTACTGTCTACGGTTAATCTACCAAAGCATATAGTGAATAACTTGGGTAGCAGTAAACTACTACCCAAGTACATTGGCCCATTTCGTGTATTGCATCGCCTGGGCAATGCATACACGATCGAGTTGCCACGTAAGATGCGAACGCATCCCACGTTTTACGTTGATCGGCTTAAGCCGTACCATCAGTACGCTGCTTCTTCCGATGAAGAAAGCCCTTGCGCTCAAGCATCTCGCAGAGAGCCTTTTGCTCCCGATGGTGGGCATCAACAAGGGTCTGAAGAGCAGTTATCTCAGCCCGAGACCGATCAACAATCCCACGAGCTACCCTTAGCTCGTCACGAAGAGATGTCAGAGATCTCTCGTTCTCAAGCTGAGCAAAGGCAAACTCAGCTCGATGCTTCGAGGCAGTGTCCCCCATTTGGAGACGCCTGTCCCGCTCATGTTCGAGATCGTTGCGCAACCCTTGCGTTACGCGATCAAAGAAGCTCTCGGGAACACACGGATCCCCATGATCGTGTGGATAGCGTCTTTCCTCCTCCTCCACCTCTATTAGAGGACTCTCGCGGTGGCCAGCGCTATCTAGTTGAGCAGCTGTTGAACCACCGCGACGTGAACGGACGTCAAACAAGTTATCTCGTCCGGTGGCGCGGCTATCCCCCGTCCTGGGATTCTTGGGAGCCCCGCTCCCAATTGATGGTTGACGTACTGGGTCTGGTCGAGCAGTACGACGCGACACATCCTGTGCCGCAGAAGGACCGCCGGAGAAAGTCTTCCCGGCACGGTCGTAAAGGGATTTCAGGTTGTCAATCCCTTCGTACATCTCAGTAGAGACACGTACGCGCCACCACGGGCTGGTAAGGAGGTAAGCCTCCTTAGGTGCTCGTGCAGAGTTGTTCACACAACATGGGCACGAGTCTCCTCTCCCCAAGAGAGGCAGGGTAATCCTTTCTCCCTTGACAGACGATGCAGCTTATAGCGTGCACCTGTCGGGGTTCGCTTTTCAAACTTATCACGAGCTTTGATAAGTTTGTCGTTCCAAGCGTCACGACCTACATCCTCGAGATTATGGATGTAGGCGTTCCACGCCTGAAGTAGTGAGGGACCATCACGTTTGTGATTCCCACTGTACCATCGATGTCTGAAGAAAGCATCGATGAAGAACTCATGTTCAGCGCGATAGTCTTTCGCGCTGGGGTCAAGGTGATGAATCCTCGACGAATCGAACAATCGTGTTCGATAACGATCACTCGTCGTCGCCGACAAGTGATCCATGACAGATTTAGGAGGCATCCATGCCTTCTTTTCTGGAGCGAGACGCAACACATTGCGGTCCCGCTCTTCCTGCGATGTGCCGACAGAAGTACTGGCACCTCGTTGCGAAGTGGTGTCCATTGGAGAAACGACACCACTATTAGCGCCCGAGTCTCGCGACCTCGAGCGCCTTCGCTTCGGCGATGGTTCATCTGACTCATCAGATGAACCAAAGATGCTGCGACGCAAAGCATCGTCCATGCCACGCTTGGCAGGCGGCTTGGATTCAATTGCCGTCGATACGGATCCGTCATCCGTATCAGGAGAGTACGAGACACCGAGCTCATACTCTGTGAAGACATGAGTGTCTTCATGACCAGCGCCTGCATCACCAGGATGGGTCGCTTCAGCAACCGATGAGACATCAGTTGCTGTGGTTTCTGCTTCGGCGTCCGCACAGAGACGTGCGGACGCGCTCTCGGCGGCCTTGCTCGCGCATCGCATGGGCTTGTTAACCATGCGATGAATTGTCGGAAAGTGGACTCGGACCAACAAGTGCAAACCCTGTCCCAAATGATTTGGGACGAGTATCCATTTAGTCAATCAGTCACTAAAGTGACTGATGGTTAAGGGGGGGGTGATGTAACGGGGTGAATCGTTACATAACAATTTATAAGAAATTGTTAATAGAATATAACTAAAAGAGTTATATTCTCAGAATATTGTCATAAGGACAAATATTCTGTAGCACTTACGAGTAGTTCCTAATTGGTTGATATAGGCCATTGTATCAACCAACGAAGACGCGCCATGACAGACGCACGCAATGAGTGGTGAGCAGATAGTTGATTTACACATTTGTATTTAGACATAGTTAGATGAAGATAAATAATGATTTATTGCAGACATTAACTATTATAAATACAGTTCTACTTTTTACTTTAACCAAGTACTCGCTTCTTCTTACCGTCTTCCTCTGCACGTACGAGTGTACGTGAAGTTACGAGGCACCGCCTTATTCTGTCATCAGAATAAGTAGCTTGTACTGTCACCAGTACAAGCTTCAGGGTGCCCCGTTACACTTATTTACTGCCACCGCACGTGCCCTGGGTCCCTTTTCGCTCCTTGCAGCCAAATGTGTTTCCTTCCCAGTCTTCACCTCTTGATTCAGCATTGATTCTCCTCTCTCGGAGAAGCTCTGATGTGTACTTTTTCATATTGCAGCTGAATGAAACTTTGCTTCGTAATTTATCATAGCACGTTAGTGTTGGAAGACTTTGTAGCATTCGATCAACCGTCTACAAGACATTCACGGGCGATCCTAAATCCGCGAGTTGACTTCTTATATCAATAAACTTGTGAAGGTGTCTGCGCACGTTGCTCTTTCCACACTGATGAGTCCTGTGTAGCCCGCCTTGCATGCGATACACCTTCTGCGCAGTCATAGAAAAATGTGTCTTGCCCTCATATATCGATACGAGCACAGACCACATCTCTGTGCCTTCCTCTTTCATCATCTATTGCCTCGCAAGCTTCATCGAAAGTGATTCTTGTATCAATGTTTTGAACTTTGCTTGCTTCTTCTTGAATTCAACTTTCTCTTCATAATCCCAACTATCGTTCAAGGTCTCCTTCCCGACAGCGATTTGGTCTAATAAGCTCTTCACGAAGCCTTTAATCAAAGCATGCTTGTAGAATGTCCAATCGTCTCCGTTCCAGCGAATAAATTCCCCGGTGGAAGAATATCCTTCACGCTTGCCTGTGTCGCTGTCAGAGTCTGACGATAATTTCGTGTCTGGTCTTGATGTTTTTGACGGTCCTGTAGCACTGTGTAGCCGGTGGATATACGGGCTTAAAAACCTGACGGAATCCGCACTTGAACGCACTCACAGACAACTTACCATTGAGTACTCCATCAAGATGTATGACACGAAAGGTTCTAGTATAAACTGTTCGGGATAAAAGCAAGCTTCGTAGATGCAAAGAGGGCCATGGTCTGCTCCCTCTCTCCTCTGTCAGTGACGTTTCACGTTATACTTGCTTACACACACAAGCCACGGCACGAGCTTGTGATGAATGGCAGGCCACCTCATGCGTTCCCCGACACTATTTGAAATAATTACTACATATGCGTTATGCAGCATGTAGAAGACTTCGTCAGTGTTCACAATGAAGCTCAAGCACATGGATATTATTAGGTCATGGATTCGGGCTGTATCATTGTTGACGATCGTATCAGGATGCCGAAACGATGCTCCATCAAGTATAATCTTGGAGCGAAAAGAAAAGCGTCACCAGATCCTCCTTATCTCTGACACACTTCAGCTGCCGGACTGCATTAAAGTCGCCATACACCGCGTTCTTCGCTTCGGATCGGTCAATATGGACAAGCCACATCACAAGTTCCTCCACGTTGGTGGGTCTTTATTCTTCCTTCTTAGTGCCACAGAAAATTGTTGTGCTAACAGAGGTGAGCATCATTCTATAGACCTCTCCAATCTTCAGTTCATGATTCGACCACAAAATGGACATACATTTGAGGTTCTGAGGCGCATTATTCATAAAAAAATTACATACTGTCGGCACGATCCTTCGGTCCATTGATGCATCAAAGCAAAACAAAACTTCGCCAGTTTTCTTTATTCAAAATCTTCAGCAAGTGCTCAACTGCCTCATCATCACAATAGGTGTCATCCTGTTCCCATCTCGCGTCAATAAACTTGATCTGTAACGGGGTGAATCGTTACATAACAATTTATAAGAAATTGTTAATAGAATATAACTATGAGAGTTATATTCTCAGAATATTGTCATAAGGACAATATTCTGTAGCACTTCCAAGTAGTTCCTAATTGGTTGATATAGGCCATTATATCAACCAACGAAGACGCGTCACGACAGACGCACGCAATGAGTGGTGAGCAGATAACTGATTTACACATTTGTATTTAGACATAGTTAGATGAAGATAAATAATGATTTATTGCAGACATTAACTATTATAAATACAGTTCTACTTTTTACTTTAACCAAGTACTCGCTTCTTCTTACCGTCTTCCTCTGCACGTACGAGTGTACGTGAAGTTACGAGGCACCGCCTTATTCTGTTATCAGAATAAGTAGCTTGTACTGTCACCAGTACAAGCTTCAGGGTGCCCCGTTACACCTGGTAGCACTTCGTAGTCCGTCCAAGGACCGCGTTCACATCCAACATGAATATGTTGGATGATGAAGATGACCAAAGCTTTCACGCTACGCGTGACGGCTACTCCCATTTGAGCGATGTCGAATGGGATGCGGTTGAACGAATGGGTTCGACCATGGGCATCCATGCTGTTAGCGTCATGCTAGAGGCTCTCAATAGAGATGCCCAACATGCTACTATCGCCAAGTTCATTCAAAATGAACTTGACGCAGAACGCGAGAAAGTAGCCTTGCTTCACCAACAAGGTTCTCAACAAGCAGAGTTGTTGAGAGAACAAGGTGCTCAACAGTTTGAACTGTTGAGACAGCAGCAGGCTGCTGCTGGCGGGTCGATGCACTCGCGTCGGCCCGAGACTTTGAAGATTGACATCTCAAAGTATAGGGGGTCGAAGAAGACTCCCTCTTGAGATGGTTCGTCGAATTGGATGACGCCATAAGGGCGCGTCGCATCGACGACGGGGATATGCAAGTTGCATTTGCCCAGTCAAATCTGGCAGGACGTGCCAAGACTTGGGCACTGGGGCTCAAGCTGCACGACCCATACGCGTTTGGGTCGTTGGAAGTCTTCAAGTCGCGGCTCAGACAAACGTTTGAACCGCCTAGAGCTGAGTTCAGAGCTCGAACCGAACTCTTGAAGCTCAAGCAGGGTAAGCGTGATGTGCACGCTTACGCGCAACATATACGACATCTCACGAGTTGTATAAGTTCCAATCCGGTGGATGAACACACGTTGGTTTCGGTGTTCATGCAGGGTCTTGCGGATGGTCCCGTCAAGACTCACCTGTTCCGGCTTGAACTAGATTCACTAGAACAAGCCATTTCAATTGCGGAGCAGGAAGACTTCAGTCTGAGACAGGCTCGCGCCAGCTCGACATCATATCGTCAACCGAGACGATATGACAACGGAGGTCCAGAGCCGATGGAACTCTGTTATGTAGAGAGCGAGAAGGCTCGCTCTACAGGCTACAAGAAGTTGCAGAGATGCAACAGATGTCAAAAGACAGGACACTACGCTTACGAGTGTAGTTTTCCCCTCGTCCAGTGTCTCGCGACACTGGGCGTAGTGACCGTCCACCCATGAGAAAAGGGGCAGGGGACGAGGGTCCGCAGTTGGTGCAAAGACGCAACAACGGGATGGACCGTCAAAAAACGGACAGGATCAGTAGGTGCGGAGCACCCTACTGATCCAGCAACGTCAAGAGAATTTGTAGGCCTCTTGATGAAGGTTGCTCCCAACACACAGACATTGTGCGTTGCTGCTCTAGGTAATGAGATCTCACTCATTACCTTGAAACTCGAAGTGACGAATAAGTTGTCCCTTCGAGCTCTAGTCGATTGTGGGGCGTCCAACAATTTTGTGCGACG